CCCTTAGGTGGCCACCCTCCGCAGCGCCGTCAAGCTGGAGCAGGAGCAGCAGTTCCTCATCGCCAAGAAGCTGCAGGAGCTGACCGGCAGCAAGAACATCAAGCTCAAGCCCGTCATCGACGCCAGCCTCATCGCCGGCTTTGTGGTGGAGTACGGCTCCAGCCAGATTGACCTGTCCATCCGCGGCCAGGTCGAGCGCGTCGCCGAGAACCTGTCCAAGTGAGCGGCAGCGGCCCCGGGGGTGGGGCGAAAAAGCCCCCTGTGCTACACTGGCTGCGCTTGGTTGGGTGTGCGCAGCCGCGTTCCCATGCGGATTCAGCGACTGTGTGTTTGAGTGTGCGAGGTGGGGTGGAGCTGTTCGGGGGCGGGTGCGCTCCTTTGTTCGTGGGTGGGTGTGAGTGTGCGGGCCTCACATGTGGGAATGGCGTCTGTCCCGGTGAGCGAGTTCACACGGCTATTGAGCCGTGTACCTGTATCAACGGATGGTCCAACCCCACCTGCACCCCCACCAACGCCAGGGAGCTGACCCTCGTCGCCTAAGCGGCCCCAGCCGCCCGCGTACTTTCATTTTTGCTCGAGCAACGCGCTGACCCCCCTGCTGGCCCGCCGTGACCGCCGCGAACGCGCGCACACGGTGGGCGGGGGCCAGCGGCGAGCAGGCAGCAGCAGCAGCAGCAGCAGCACCACACAGCAGCAGCAGCAGCAGTGGCTTGGCTTTTTGCGGAGCGGAGAGCTTGGAACCAAGGTGGATCTGCTGCCGCTGCAGGTTCCAGGGCCCCATATGGGTGCCGCCCTGTTTGCATTGCGGGCGTTTGTCCCGGACCCGCCAATTGCCTGTGACTCGCGTCGCGTTTTCCGCCGGTTGAATCTGCAGCGCGCGCCGTGCAGACTAGCCTGGCGAATTCACACGCGCACCAGAAGAATGTAAGCCATTCCTCCCGGCCAGGCTGTTCTGGGTGGCGGTGCGCGGACAAGTTTGGTGGGGTGCAGGTTGGGTCTTCCCGGGGACCCCAGATCACCATCAAGCAGCAGGGGGCCTTTTGAGGTCAAACAAATACCATCAAGGTTGGGTTACAAAAATGCAGCAGGGGAACGGCTCCGTGGCGCGCGTCGCTACAAGTCAGCGCGAGCCCGTGGGCCGCAGGATTCGGGGCGCGTGTGCGCCTGCTCGGACTCAGAGGCTTGGGAGCCTTAGAGCTCCCCAGCGTCGGCGATGGTGCAGGCCTCGAGGGGGCGGTCGCGGCGGTCGGCGG